CTCCCCTTGATGGCAGAGCGAAATGAGAGCCACGACGGTTTATTTGGACCTTGCGTTAGATGTATGATTGTATATATATATATATATATATATATATATATATATTATATATATATATATATAATATATATATATACATATATATATATATTATATATATATATATATATATTATATATATATATATAATATATACATATATAGTCACACATACACATACACACATACAAACACACACACACACACACACGCACACACACACACACACACACACACATATATATATATATATATATATATATATATATATATATATATATATATATATATATATATATATATATATAACACACACACACACACACACATATATATATGTGTGTGTGTATGTTTATGTGTGTGAATGTGTACGCGTGTCTATTTGTGTCTTTAGCATCATCATCTCAGCCTGCATCGCCCCCTCCAAGACGCAGCCTCCCCCAACCTCTTCCAATATCTTTTTTCGTCTTTCGCTCTCTGTTCCCCATCTCAGCCTCCGAAATTCGTCTCCTCGTCACGCCGCCTCGTCATCGGCCTGCCTCTGGGTCATCTCGTGTTCCTCGTCCATTAGGCTCTCGGCGAGATAGCGTCTTAGCGCCTTTGGTTTGATCCTTCTCTTGATAGTCTTGGAGAAAGTTAGAAATTTGCCGACTCACGGGAAGATATTATTAATATTATTATTATTATTATTATTTTTTTTTTTTTTTTTATGGATTTCCTATTTATTAATGTCCCGCTTGATGGTGTGGTGGATTTTCTTGAAAGAACTTTTCATATTATCAGCTGATCCGTATTCCGGTCAATTGCTGTAGTGAACACATACGTATGTGTGTCACGAATAATGTCTTTACTTTTGACGGCGATTTTTAAGTAGATTGGAAGTGCCTTAGGCCGGTACTTGTGAACTTATAAATGAAGATATATGTACACACACCACACACACACACACACACACGCACACACACACACACACACACACACACACACACACCACACACACACGCACATATACACATCACATATATATGCATATACATATATATGTGTGGGAAAAAAAAAAAAAAAAAAAAAAAAAAAAAAAAAAAAAATATATATATATATATATATATATATATATTATATATATATATATATATATATATATATATATATATATATATATATAGCGCTAAGGACTCTGCGAACCGCTCGCTCACGCCCCGCGCCCTCATCGCAGGTTCGGCATCTCCTCCGTCACATCAGATGCGCTTTGATCATTTTGCCTTCGTCAGTTAATTAAGGTTTCCCTCTCGGCCTCTCACGGGAGCCAGAAGTTCGTCCTGTCCATCAGTCAACTTTCCAAGAATGACTTAGTTTGCCTTAAGTTGAACGGCTCTTCGCCATCTCCCGTCAGCTTACTTTTTTTTTTTTGTCTACATTTTTTTTTCTTTAATTTCGGTCTACTTTTTTTTTTTTTTTTTCGTATACACATCTTGGGAAGGGAAAAAGGCGTAGGTGATTGGTGTTTCTGCGATCGGTAAATATGTGCCAAAGAAAACCCTGCACGAAACTTGGCTCACTTCGCTAATCACTCTTGTTTCACTGTTGATGAACATCTCGGGGAAAAGGTGTTTCTTGTGACATTTTCTTAACTGCTGGGAACGTTGCTGTCTGCGTTCGATTATGTCTGTTTGATTATCACGTTTATTGCTGTCGTTATAATTAAGTGATAATTGTGGCTATCATAACGTTCAGTCTGATTATGATCATATTCGTTATTCTCATCATGAGTGCAATCACTATCCACATCATCATGATTATAATTCTCAATATCATGATCATCATTCTTATTATAATGATGATAATATTCACATTTACTGTCCTCTCATGAAGGTAACTATCATGATGATCATCACCACACTCACCTTCCTCATCCTCATGAGTACAGCCATCAACATCACCGCCACATACACACTCATCCTCCTCATATCCTCATGAGTACAGCCATCAACATCACCGCCACATTCACACTCATCCTCCTCATATCCTCATGAGTACAGCCATCAACATCACCGCCACATTCACACTCATCCTCCTCATATCCTCATGAGTAAAGCCATCAACATCACCGCCACAGTCACACTCATCCTCCTCATATCCTCATGAGTACAGCCATCAACATCACCGCCACAGTCACACTCATCCTCCTCATATCCTCATGAGTAAAGCCATCAACATCACCGCCACATACACACTCATCCTCCTCATATCCTCATGAGTAAAGCCATCAACATCATCGCCACAGTCACACTCATCCTCCTCATATCCTCATGAGTATAGCCATCAACATCACCGCCACATTCACACTCATCCTCCTCATATCCACATGAGTATAGCCATCAACATCACCGCCAGTCACCTTCGCCATCGCCTCTGTTAACTCCGCACCTCACCCACGAACCCCCTCCCCCTCCTCCTTCAGGCCAGGCGGGGACTGTGTGGAGGGCCTGCTGCCGGCGGTGTATGAGGCCGCCCTCGTGCACTCGGAGACGCACCACCACAACCCTCACCATCTGCCGCCCGACCAGAGCACGTCAGCCATCATCTACGTGTCGGTGAGTCCGTGCTTCCACCAGGCAAGCAACTGCGGGTTTTCTTGTCTGAGAGAAACCAGCTGGATGTTCGGCAACTGCGGTTTTCTTGTCTGAAGATAACCAGCTGGATGTTCGGCAACTGCGGTTTTCTTGTCTGAATATAACCAGCTGCGGCAACTGCGAGCTGGATGTTCGGCAACTGCGGTTTTCTTGTCTGAATATAACCAGCTGGATGTTCGGCAACTGCGGTTTTCTTGTGTGAGAGAAACCAGCTGGATGTTCGTCATACTCCATACGACTTATCTGGGAGGTTGCGGGCTTACGTCCCAAATAAGGAAGTGGGATGTCAAGGCGCAAATTTATTCATATTTACGCGACGGTTCTTCTCTGGTCGTGTCTTCTGCTGCATTGCATTTTTCTCATTTTCGCTGAAATCTTATGAAAGTTTCCCCCATAGATCAGCTGAGGATATGGAATATTCACACTGAAAATACGTAGTTTCATATTATTATCAACGAAGAGAGTGATATTTCTATAAAATTTTGCGTTGCAGTTTATGGACCCTCATCATTATCAATATGAAAATGAGCAATTCTTTTACTTTGCTCTCTGTAGTTTCTCCAAACAATTTTCAGTAACCATTGAGGTGAAATTACATCATAATATTACAATGAATAAAAAAATCAGTAAACGAAGTAGAAGAGAAAATAGATCAATGAAAAAAAAAAAAAAAATACAAGCAACATAGGTTCATGAGCAACTGGTGCAGAGAATGTCCGATGCAGATTCAAGTTTTGATTCCATTCTGCTGCAATATAGAATGCATATAAAACATACAGCATATACACGCACGTACATGTATATTGGTATTGAATGAGAGCATTTGCCATTTAAATCAAGCATCCATAATGAATGAAATATCGGGGCGCCACAATTTTAAATTTATTATGCATTAGCAGTGTGGCGCTCATGTTGGAATCAACCTTTTCTTTTCATTTTAGGTACAAGTTTGTAATACACGTAAGTAATAAGTATATACACTGAGTATGAGCGTAGAGATTCAACGAACAAACATACATATAGAAAGATTGATAGATAAAGAGAGAAAGAGAGAGCCATGAGACTATATATATGTTTATACATACATTTATGAAAACAAATTATACACACACACACATTCATATGTGTGTGTGTGGGTGTAAATAAATGTATATGTATATTTATCTATCTATCTGTCTATCTATCTATCTATCTATATATCTATATATATACACACACATACACATATACACACATGTATATGTAAATATTTATGTATGTGTGTATATATATATATATGAAAACATACATCATATATATGTAAATACGCACGAACACACACATTTATCTATGTGTACAAACAAACAAACAAAAAATACATATATATATATGTATATATTTATATATATATAAATACATATATACATATATATATACACATACATACACCATATATATATGTGTGTCTGTGTGTGGATGCAAGTATATATTATATATATATATATATATATTATATATTATATATATATATATATATACACACACACACACACACACACACACACACACACACACACACACACACACACACACACACACACACACATATATATACATATGTCTCCTTGTACAACTTTCTGTCGCTCTCTGCAGTGGCAATTCAGTTTTCAATCATCTTTCCCTGTAGGGTATTGCTTTCATTACTGGTTAGTTGACATTAAAATTAAATGCTGCTCTGTTTTCCAACATGCACCGAGGGCATGATACACTCACCTGTGTAAAATTTACGCCGATAATACATGCTAATCTGATATTGCTAATGGACATCAAAGAAAAAATAACAGTAATATTCAACAAAAAACAATAATGTTCAACAAAGCAACACTGTACATGATTGGCCAGTCACTCCGATTCATAAGGAATATTTTTCATAATGGCAATTCGAACACGCACCGTATGAAACACCAGCCCCATTTCCTTGTTTGGAAAGATGCCTCCCGCCCAAAGATGCCTCCCGCCCCTTTTCTTGCTATGAAATGCCTCCCGCCCAAAGATGCCTCCCGCCCCTTTTCTTGCTAAGAAACATGCCTCCGCCCCTTTCTTGCTATGAAACCCTCCCGCCCCATTTCCTTGTTTGGAAAGATGCCTCCCGCCCATTTTCCTTGCTATGAAACATGCCTCCCGCTCATTTTCCTTGCTATGAAACATGCCTCCCGCCCCCTTTCCTTGCTATGAAACATGCTAACCGCTACATTTCCTTGCCTTGAAAAACGGGGTCACAAGAGATCGCAGCGGATGAGGCGAGGTCAGAAAAAGATTCGCCTCACTCCGAGCACGAAGACTCCTTCCGGTCCGTTGAAGTTGCCTAGGCTTCCTAAGATCGAGCTCATCCACTTAGGCTTCGGGCTGTCTGGTTCGGACGAAGTCAAGGGGCGGGAGCTGCAACAGGCGCCAAAGGCAACCGTAATGCAGTTAGTCTGAGGCAGATGCACTTGAGCGCTGATTAATAAACGCTAGCTATACTCGTGCTGTGTGTCACTGGTAATTGGTCCTTGAGAGTGACGAATGGGTGCTTTCGCCAGCGCTGACCTCGCTTATTACTATCCTCGACGCGCTTACGAACAACTGCGCTTGTTTTCCGGTCTTTGCGAGAAATTCTAACCCCTTTTCTCCGGTTAATTGCATTGAGATGTATGCAAATACTTTAGCTTTTTCGTTTTGGGGGGAACGCTGATGAACTCGTGCGGAGTAACTGCTTCTATAACAACTGGGAGAACTTTCACATTTCGAAACCCATTACTGTTAGTCCAAGTCCCTGTAATATCTCACGATGACGTTTATTGCAGCCGACATGTCATATAACAGACATATAGCCACGACTGCTGTTACTTCCTTCCACTAGCAGCTCATACGCGGCGCCAGTAAATCACTTATACTTTTGCCTTTGTCTTTCCTTTGGCTCTCCCTTTTCTCTCTCTCTCTCTCTTCTTTTCTTTTTAATTCACGATTCATACGGTTTAAGACATGATCCCTCTTCTATAAGTCTGATCCTCCCTCGCCTTTTTATCCCTCTTAATGACCCCATTAGCCTTTCATTATGTCCCATCCCACTTAACGATCACATTAGTCTTTCTGAGTCTGAACCTCCGTTGCCAGGCCACCCCTGCTGATGACCACACGTCCCCCTCCTCTTCCTGCAGATCGTGGTGGTGTTCTACGTGGTGATCATCGCGGTGCTGGTTGGGACGACCCTCCGGCGGCGCGGCCAGGTCCTGGAGGAGGCTGAAGAAACGCGTCACCTCCTTATTTACGACGAGAAGACCGACAGCGTAACGCCGACCCCAGCCGTCCCGACCTCCAGGATACACGAGGCAGGACTGCTGACCGTGTGAGGTCGCGGTTGATCTGCTGTTCTGTCTGCTTGCGGGTCGACTCTCTGACAGGGAGAGGTCAAGCCCGCTCGTTGAAAGTCGTCAAAATACTGACAGCCTGATAATGTTCTGCTGACGGTATGGTGTCTATAAAGAGTATGAACGAGATGCAGATTGTGATCTCTGAGTTACTGAAACAACACGTCCAGTCAGCAGGCGAACCTTCTTGCCGTGACAACAGGCAAGAAATTACGTTTAAAAAAGTTTGTAGCATAACCGATCCGAACTGATGTTTCTGGCTGATTCTTAATTAATAGATTGAAAAAAAAATTACAAAGACAGAAGGAAAAAAAGACAAAGAGAATGACTGAGTGAGTAAGAAAGTGTGTGTGTGAACGAGGGTAGGGGGAGTTTGAGATAGAATGAATGAGTGAGAGAGAGAGAGAGAGAGAGAGAGAGAGAGAGAGAGAGAGAGAGAGAGAGAGAGAGAGAGAGAGAGAGAGAGAGAGAGAGAGAGAGATCATAACTTCAACTAAAGAGCACTATATAAAAAAAACACTCAAAGCTAAAATGTAATAAACACCACCAACCTGAACTAATGATCTAAAAATCTTACAAAATATGCACAAACAAACCTTATTCCGCCTGATGTAGTCTTTTTCAGCGAAGACTTCATTCCACAAAGTGTTGATGCATTAAGAAGTGAAGTCCGTCGTTCAAGGAAGAGATTCAATTTTGTTAATAACGTCATTTCATAGATGATATGTAATCAAGCAAAAGCTTTTTTTGTCTGACGCTTGGCTGATCTTGTGACTGGTGTTAAAAAAGTAGGAACGAGGATGACAAGGTGTGTTTTTCATGGATGATGTGTGAACTGCTTTTGTGCTTTTATATAAAAAATTAGCTATATTCGGTGAATGTTTACAGTAAGAAATGCACAGGATTATATACATACATAGATAGACATAAGTTAGTTTGAAGTATCCACGATTTTGTATGTTATTTATGTCCTTATGTGTCTGTAAAACGCATATAATCATTATGATGAAAATATGACGATACTCAAAGCAAAACATATCATTAGCAGAACTTTGGTTTCTTAGAAAGTTAAAAGAAAAGAACAATCAACACAAAAGTCCACTTACTTTTAAGGAAGAATAGAAGAAAATGGAAGGAAAAGAAAAGCTAGCATAAAACTTTACCAAAACAGAAGACAAGTCCACATACTTTTTTAAAGGAAAGAACAGAAGGAAATCGTTAACGGGAGGGAAGAGGACCGGAAATAAATATAAAAAACTTTCCTCCTGTACCACTTTGCTTTGCTGAAGTCCGTGCAGTTCAGAGGAAGAAACATTTCGCCCGTTAATGCAACGTTATGAGGCAGCATTCGCAAGCCCTGATTAATTTAGTTTCAAGTTCCATTGGCTTGCATGCAGTCAGTTCCGGTGAATTCATCCATGTTTGTTTTGGCTGGTCTAGAGAGAGACCTCTGTAATGGCGGCGAAACGGCAGGGAAATACATATCAAAATAAATCCAAAATGCCCTTCTATGCTTTCATTCTCTGGATCAGACGTTTGACTGAAGTTAATGAGGGAATTTGTGATTTTCTTATTGTGAGGAAATAATGAGAAAGAAATATTTCGCAAGGCAGATCTGAGGATGAGAATACCCTTGTGTGAATAATTATCTACGTTCACTGGGAAGAGAAGAACAGTAAAATGTGTTGTCCTTGTGAACTGGAAATACGAGACACTGTATATATAAAATAGCAAGAGTGAAAATATGCAGAGATAAAAACCAATATATAAGGAAGTTCTTCTAGTTTCAGTTAACATCATCTGTGACAGTCAGCTCTGTGCATGTTAGCAGACGACAAGCCATTAAACGTACTTGTATGTCTATAATATGATTTTCATGCACATGCCCATGAACTGATTGCAAAGCATGCATTCTGCCACTTACGTTAATTGACGCTACAGAGAATTCTAAATAAGTCTTTGAAATAGAAGCGACTTAAGCATCGCAATGGTCATAATGGATTTAACATATTACTCAATTTTCTGAACGAAGAACCCGTGTGAAGGTAAATTAAAACTTTCAGTGATTCTGATGCGATCTGTATTAATCGGCCAGAGGCTCAAAATAAGCCGATTCTGAATTTTAAAAACCAGATTCTGGAATATCATAACAAACATATCGAATTACTTGGGGGGAAAAAAACCTATCCTGAAACATTAGAACTAACAGCTCTAAATCCCTCCCTTCTTCCTCACACCAACCCCCCCCTGGACGAACAAAGGGAAGCACCACCGGCCGATATCCGAGCGTAAACTGGAAGACAACCGACCCCCCCCCCCCCCTAAGAGCTCGAAGCCCCCAGGACGTTATCGAAGCACAGATAACCCCGCGGCGCCTCCCTGCCGAAAGTGGAGTAACAGCATCAGGCACCCAATTACACAGTCAATATCGGGTATTCGGATGGACCCGATAAGCCGCCTCCGTCCGCCGGCTTGGCATTGGATTATAATTGGACAACACGACTGGGATTGCTGTGGACGCCTCCTCGCTCTGGCTGCGTCGAGAGGGGTCTCCTGTGGGCGCCTCGACCTTGGGGGGAAGTTCGACCTCGTTTCAAGATGATGTTTGTGGATTCGGTCTTGATCGATCGACGTGGATCCTGATGATGAAACATTTCGGGAAGGCGAAAATGGTCAATCAAAAAGACAAACAAACAAACATAAACAAACAAAAATAAACAATAAAAACAAAACAAAAACAAGACTGCCAACTGATATTTTGTGTGTGTCCAGAAGCGTCTAATGGCACTCAAATGTGAACTCTCTTTTTTTGTCTTTTTTTTGTCTTTGGATATTTTTACCACTGCATATAACTACATTGTGGATCTCCGTGCTAGATGTATATAAACTATTCAGAATGTACTAAAAATTTGAGTCAGCGTTTTCACCAAGACATGAACAATTGAATAAAAGATGTCCAAGATGTGATTTATTATTATCCATCTCTTGAGAAAATAACATGAAAGAGAACCGACGATAATAATGAAAATTGTATTATTAGAGATAGATATTGTTAGATGATACTGATAGAGATTACAATGATAATGATGATAAGGTTGATAGTCATAACAATGATGATGATATGACAGCTGCTACTACTTCCACCTCCTCTCTCCTCTCTTCCTCCTCTCGCCTTCCTCTCTCTTCTTCCGTGTTGTCTCTTCCTCTCTTCTTTCTCTTCTTGCGTGTTTTCTCGTCCTCCTTTCGTCATGATAAATATAATAATAAAGACAATGATGATGATGAAATGATTGCTGCAACTACTAATGCTAATGATAATTATAATAATAAAGACAATGGTAATAATAATGATGATGGGAAGGAATATCATGACAATAGAGATAATGACTATGAAATTGTTAGTAATAATGATGATAGTGAAGTGCTACTACTATTACTAATAATATTACTGATAGTAAAACAATAATTATAGTAAAAGTAATGATAATGGTAATAATGATGAAGCTAATAACAATGATCCTGACCATAATCAAGACAATAATAGTTATGATGATGATTATAAAAATGTAATTATAAAAACGATAAGGATAATAATGACAATAATAATAATGATTACCAAGTTTTTAAAAAGTATATGATCCATCACAGTGATTAACCGATAAAAAAACAGGTTGTTTTTATCAATATATTCACAAATATATACAGAAAAGTTCTTTGAAAGCACGTAGAAACACTTTGTGTAGTTGTAAACACTGGATCAGCCGTAATTCCCCAGGCAGCTGTCATCACCAAGTAAAAGTGGAGAACAAGCGGACATGTTGTGACCGGTCGTTCTCGGGTAATCACCAGTTACGACTACGAACGTCTTGTAAGAGGTTACGAATGTCTCGAAACAGGTGTCGGATTCGTGGTTCGGTGGAGACAAGGAAATGGTTCATTCAGCCCCACAACACACATGCGCACACACACACACACACACACAAACGAGGAAAATAAACCTAAAGAACAGGGAAGTTAACACCGAAAACCTATACAAAGGAACACTATTTTGACCTAAATATCCTATTTCAGCTAAAGGTAAGTTTCACTTCTTTTCTGGACAGCGACTTCGAACATCAGCACTAGAGTTTTCCTTACAACATCAACCAACAATAACAATCTTACCATCAACCTTACCAAAACATCCACAGAATTATTATAACACGTAACTGTCACCTCTTTTGTTTCTGTTGCTTAGGTTTCGATTCCCGTTTTCTTTAATAAACTCTACATTAAATGAATATACTTGTAAAGCCAATGACCAGCACTTGTCTGACATTTTCATTTTTCATTCTTCTCAAGTTCGCTAAAGGTTGTTGGTATGTCTGTATATATTCTCGTCCATGCAAATAATTCCTGAACTTATTTATGGTACAATGCTGAGACATTCTCGCTCTGCAATGGTGTATATCATTTCGCGATCTAATAGTATTCGGATTGCATATGCGATGAGTATCAACACTTCATCAACATCTAGCAACAAGCTGGCAACTAAACCAGTGTCAAATGAGTCAGCTCTTAAATAGTTTTTTTTTTTTTTTTTTTTTTTTTTTTGCAATGAGATAAATTTAAAAACTGAAACATGAGCTAGTTTCTCTTTAAAGTTGTTAATATTTCGATTTTGCTCGTTATTCCATTCTGACTTATTACTGTTACATTTCTTCAAAACAACATTGACTGGAGATAAGATGTCAGCAAGATTTGGTATAAACACGATAAAAGGAAACCGTACCGATGAATGGTCTCGGTTGAGTTTCAGTTTTAGGGACAGGCATATAAAGTAAAGCTTTAACTATCTTTAAAGAGGAATAAGCAGTTATTTCTTAAAGAAGATCCAAGATATTTGATGTTTAAATACCCAACGGAGTATGTACTTGGCCCAGTGGTGAGTCCATGCATCTGCCAGTATCCCTTTTCACATGTCAATATTGGTGAAATATCTGTCAGCTACGAAGTTTCCAAAAGCTTCGTCTATCGTCGGCATTAGCTCGGCATCAAATGGGCTTATATCATTGAGTGATCTGAAGTCCACAGAGCGTCTTATCTGCCTTCTTAACTGAGATTATGGGAGAATAAGGCGAATTAGATAGTTCGAATCTACTTACTAACCAAAATATTTCTTTTATTAGGAAAAGCAGGGGGTAAGGATTGCCAAGTATGGGTGTTTCGCTTGTCAGATTGATGTCATGTGATACTCTGTTAATCCCAGCTTATCGAAAAAGACATCCGAATATTCTGCAGGGAGCTCATCTATTTGTTGTTTCTGTTCAGTGCTCAAATTCTGATTGTTTATTTTTGAATTCTGATTGATGTTAAATTTTGAAATGGGATTA